TAGGGAAAATATTTACTTCTCTGACTTACTGTAAGAAAAGAGGAGTGGTTTTGTATATTAAGGAAACTATTCCAGCAAAACTGACTTTTACCGATGAAGATGGAAGAGTATTAATGGTTGAAATAGTGGACAATAATACAAAAACACTTTTGGTTGCAATTTATGCCCCGAATGATAAACAAGAAGAATTTTATAAAAAATTACACATGAAAATAATTGAACTGGACTACGCTAATATACTTATGATGGGAGATTTCAATGGAATTGTAGACAATAAACTGGATTATACAGCAAAAGCAACACGACAAAATAGGAAGACTCTTCCTAAATCTTTTTTTAAAATGACAGATGAATTAAATCTTAAAGACATATGGAGAGAAAGAAATGCCAAAACTCAACAATACACTTTTTATTCCAATAGACATTTATCATGGTCCAGAATAGATATGATTTGGACATCAACAGAATTATTATCCAATATTCAAGAAATAAATATTGAAACAAGTACATGGGCAGACCATAATCCAATGACAATTAAATGGAAAGGACAAAAAAGAAGATCTAGATGGACATTAAATAATACTATTTTAAAGGAAAAAAACTTTACACAATGGATGGAAAAAGAATTGGCCTTCTTCTTCAATGTAAACAAAAAAGAGGACACTTCAATACAGAATGTTTGGGATACAATGAAGGCATATGCAAGAGGATTAATAATAGACTATTCAAAGAAAAAGAACATTAGGAAGAGGCAAATGATTAAAGCTCTAGAAGACGACCATAAAAAATTGGAAAAAGAATTACAAAAAGCGCCACAAAAAAAAGATATTAGACTTAAAATGGACATAATTAAACATAAAATGGATCAAGCAGAGAAAGAAGAACTGGTACAAAAAATTAGAAGTGCTAAACAGAATTATTTTGAAGATGCAAATAGGCCAGGTAGATGGTTAGCATATAAATTGAGAAAAGAGAAAGAACCAAGGAAAATATTACAGTTAATAGACAATCAAGGCCAAGTATGCTATGGTAATAAAGAAAAAAAAGCAATCATTCGAGATTTTTATGGACAATTATATAAACAGGAGGATCTTGATGAGGAAAAAATCAAACAGTATTTACAAAATGCTAACCTACCTAAGATACCTGATGAAACTGGGGAAATGTTAGAAAGTGCTATAACAATGATGGAATTAACTGAAGCACTCAACAGACAGAACAATGGAAAAGCACCAGGACCAGATGGTCTCCCGGCAGAACTTTATAGAACACTACAAGAATCATTGAGCATTCCACTATTAGAAGTCATGAATGAAGTTATGGTAAATAAGAAAATACCTAAAACATGGTCAGAAGCTTATATTACACTTATCCCAAAAGAAGGGGTCGACCCATTACAAATTAAGAACTATAGACCTATTTCCTTATTGAATGCAGACTACAAAATCTTTTCTTCAATCTTGGCAGAGAGGCTTAAAAAATATTTAAATAATTTTATTCACCCTGATCAGAATGGATTTTTACCAAAGAGACAAATTAAAGACAATATGAGGATAATCCTGGATACATTGGAATATTACGAGGCGCATCCTGAAAAACAAATGGCTTTGATATTCTTAGATGCCCAAAAGGCATTTGATAACGTGAATTGGAGATTTATGCTATTATTATTGGAACAGATGGGCTTTGCTAGAAAATTTATTCAAGCAATAGAAGCCATATATTATAAGCAAACGGCAAAAGTAATGATAGATGGAGAACTTACAGACTCTATTAATATTTAAAAAGGTACAAGACAAGGATGTCCATTATCCCCTTTGTTATTTGTATTGACTTTGGAAGTGTTAAATAGAAATATTAGAGAGGATACAAATATAAAAGGAATGAAAGTTAAAAAGGAGGAATTCAAATTGCAAGCCTTTGCAGACGACTTGGTCTTTATTTTGGAAGATCCTCTTGAGACAGCTTTAAAACTATTTGAAAAGATAGAGATGTATGGTGAGATGGCTGGCTTGAAAATAAATAAAGACAAAACAAAGATTTTGACAAAGAACATGTTATTAAGACAAAGAGAAGAGCTGACAGACCTATTGAAAATTCAAGTTACGAATAAAGTTAAATATTTGGGGATATATTTGACGTCAAGATGTACTACACTGAAAGAGAATAACTATATTAAACTTAAGCAGCAGATAGCATCTGATCTGAAAAAATGGGAAAACTTACAATTGTCACTGATAGGTAGAATTTCAACAATTAAGATGAATATTTTACCTAGAATGTTATATTTGTTTCAAACAATACCAATTAGGTTAGGTAAAGACTATTTTGAAGAATTAAATAAAATTGTGTTGAAGTATATATGGCAAGGTAAGAAAGCGAGAATAAAATTAAAACTTTTACAGGATGCTAGAATTAGAGGAGGATTTGGCCTTCCTAATTGGGAGTTGTATTATCAAGCTGCAAATTTAATGTGGGCTAAAGAATGGATAACGTTAAGAAAGACTAGATTGTTGGCATTAGAAGGACATGATTTACTATTGGGTTGGCATGCTTTTCTATGGTATAAGGGAACTAAATCACAGGCATTAGAAGGCATTATATACGGGAATCGTTATGGTTGAATTGGGAGAAAATTAAGAAACAATGTTATTTGAAAATTCCAGTTTGGTTATCAACTATTGAAGCCTTTTCTTATCCTATAATTTATAAGAAGGAACAAACAGTTAGATATGGGGAATTACTAGATGAAAAGGGTGAACTTAAAACGATGCAAAATTTAGAAGAACAAGGTATAAAGATGAATTGGTTTTCATATGCGCAAATACATTCAAGGTATCTTAAAGATTCCAAAATGGAAGGATTTTATGACAAATTGACTGATTTAGATAGGATTTTGACAGGTACTGATGAAAAAGTGATTAAAAATTATATAATTATTTGTTGGAAATTAAATTGGAGGAAGAACAAGTTAAAGAAACAATGATTGCTTGGGGGAAGATTTTGGATATGGGATTGACTTAGAGAAATGGCAAAAGTTGTGGTCTCAAAATTATAAAATGACAATGTCAACAGCATATAAAGAAAATTTGTATAAGATGTTTTACAGGTGGCATTTTCCCCCGACAAGAATAGCAAGAATGTTCAAGAACAAATCTGAAAAGTGCTGGAAATGTCATCAGATTCCTGGTTCATATTACCATATGTGGTGGACTTGTGAGGAGGCCAGGAAATACTGGACTAGAATTCGCATATGGTTGGAAAAAATGACAAAGAAACATACATATAGATTTGAAGCCAGAGATTTTTTTATTGGGAATCTTACCTGATACATATAATAAAAACTTAAAGTATTTGATTGTAAATGTATTAACAGCGGCTAGGATTGTATTTGCTAAAAATTGGAAGAGTGAGTAAATACCGTTAGAGGAAGAAATTATTAAGAAAATATTGGAATGTGCTGAAATGAGTAGATTGACATTTGGAATTAGAGAACAAGAAGATAAACAATTTTATGAAGTTTGGGATCTTTTTTATCAATGGTTAGATAATACAATATAATAATAGAATAGTTAGAAATTTAGGAAATAACGAATATACATTTTTTCTTGGTCTTGATAACACTTTTAGAATATTTTATTAAGATAGACTTGGTATGATTTTATGATTTGTTATAAAATAAAGTAACTAAATTACAGTTATCTCGCTTAAGTATGAATTAGTAAAATTATAGTCAAATGATTGTTTAATAATGATATTAGGATATATAATTGTTGATCGATAATATGAGTTATTATGTAACATAATTATTATGATGACTATGAAATGGATGCACAAAAAGGAGTGGTAAACCAACCGATACACTGTCTATAAATATATGAAGAATGATGATGTTTTTTATGTTATGTTTTATGTTTTATGTGTTTTTGTTTGTCGTTAAAATTAATAAAAACTTTTATTAAAAAAAAAAAGGAAACTCAAATTAGCGCTCGGCCCTGAACCGCCTCCAATTCCACCTGATGAAGAGGCTAACAGACCGCAAACCTCAGACAATCAGAATAAGGCAACAGATGTGTTATCAGAACAACCCCCTGGAATCCCTTTGATTCTTGGGAATACAGAGACTTAGCAGATGTTTTTAGCAAAGAAGAATGCAATGTACTGCCCCCCCTCCCGGCCCTCAGACTGTTCGCTAGAGTTTGTGGAAGGGGCAGTTACCTAAACCCAAAATGTATTCCATGACACCCAGAGAATTGAGGGAACCAAGGGAGGACATTGATAACAACCTGGCCAGAGGGTTTATACAGCCAGCAAAATCAAAGATAGATGGATAACCCCCATGTTATTTAAGGAAAAGAAAGATGGGGGGGGGGGGGAATGAGGCTCTGCATTGATTTTAAAGAAATTAATACCATGTGCATACACAATAACTACCCTTTACCCTTCATGAAAGATATGCTGAGGCATCTGGCAAAAGGAAAAGGGTTTACTAAACTCAATCTCCAACAGGCATACTACCAAGTAAGGATGAAAGAAGGAAATTAGTGGAAAACTAAATATGAGTAAGTTGCCAAGCATATGAATTTTGATCATGTGACCATGGGGATACAGTAATGGTCATGTGAAAAATGGTTATAAGTCACTTTTTCAGTACTGTTGTAACTTTAAATGATCACTAAATGAACTATTTTAAGTCGAGGCCTACCTGTATTTAAGTACCATAGTTATTTTGAGCACACAGTAAGCAAATGGTCTTAGGTTGAGAACTACCCGTAGTTTATCTGGAGAAGAAATGTTATATTTGCTGCTTGCTTCATCCAAGACTAGGGATCTTTCAAGAGCAAGGTAAATAATTAACAACTCACTAAGTATTCAGCATTTTCAAGGGCCATTGATTGATTTCAGGAAGTCTTTACATTGCATTTTAATCTCACAATTAAGTTCTACAGATAACTAGTTGTACTTCAAATTTCAGTTTCAAGGCTTCAGTGACTTTGTACCTCAATATCCAGAAATCCTTGGGGGCGAATGGTACCATAGCTAGGAGAGATGGTAAATTCCTTGGGCTTTGCAGATGCAAACCATGCCTTTCTCCACATTGGCCTTGAGATGTCAGAGGCTTGATCCTGACTCCTAATACTTGGATCTCCATTACCATCTCCTGGGACATGCAGGCTGAAAGTCATGGGCACCAGTGAAGTGTTGCTGAGGCAGCAGGACAGGGTTTGAGGAAAACCTGGAAGCAAGAATGGAGGTTGTAAGTAAGCTGAATTAGGGTTCTGAAAAGGACAAGGCCACCAAAGCAAACCCTCCCACTTTACACAAAGTCAACTTTAGGTCTTGCTAGCTTGTACTCTTTAGGGTAGTGGGATAAAGGGCAGCTCTTAGGAGGAAAAGCTCAAGAATGACAACAGATGGAACCAAGGAAATGAGAGGCAGTGAGGTGTGGTGTTTTGTAAGTTCATCCTAGGCCAAGGAAGCTCATTGGGTGTCTTTGGGCTAGTCATTTTCTTCATAGAAGCACTTCCTGACTGAAGAAGAGTTGAAAGTTTAATAACCATAGGGTATTGGAGGCACACTCAGAATTCCTGGCAAGTCTGCATACAGTCTGCTCTCAGATTCCTACTCTATCTATAGCTCTGCCCAATAATACCAATAATGCCCCCCACACATACACACCTCCCTTACTCTTAGGTGCTTCTGGCTCAGGCCTGCCCACCCACCCACACCTCCCGACCATCACTGCCATATTGCATCAAAACTCTGCAACCAAAAGTGAACAAATGCACCCCCATGGTCTCCAGACCCCACCAGTGAAACACCTGGGACTTCTAGTGAGCCTCTGCTGCTATGGTCACCCTTTCAACCCAATCCAGGATGCAGAGTGGGGCTTATAACAGAGTCCTCCACAACCTTAGGCCACCCTTGGCATCCAGATCCCATAACCAGGATGCCCTGGTCTATCACTCTGCCTTTTCTGCCACTTTCTTTGTTGGCAGCACTGCCACAAGCAGCTGACTTCCAGACTATTATTGTTGTTATTGTTGTTGTCATCATTGTTCCTCCTCCTCCTCCTCCTCCTCATCCTCCCCCCCACTGATCTTGCAAAAGTGGTCCATCAAGCAGTGCCAGGAGACAAAGGGACAATAAAGAATGGACAAAAGATACAAATATAATGACTCAAATTAAGATGGATTAATTAAGATAGAATTAAGCAAGAGTGAAATGTGTGGAGAAGCTAATATAGAAGACTTAGAATGGTA